TTTGTGAACCACACGTGTCACGAGAGTTTCTCTGTCGAACGGGGCAAATCTCACACATACCAGATAAATTAACAAAGCAAAGAAATATGGATCTCAATATTTTAATCTGATAGCAAAAGGACTTACATTTTTGATTATCAGAGGATATCGTGTAACTCGTTGCATAGGCTTTAGCAAAAAGCTTGACAATGGCATCCCTTTACAGCGAGGATCCATTGCTAATTTCTGAAATATTGAGAAAGCAAGAAATGTCAGCTGCTTTATGAAAGGTATTTTTAAAATGTCAAAAGCAAACAGGGACTTCCTTTATTGTTTACATTTACGTAAATATCAAATCTTTATCTATCTATCTATCTGCACCTCTATAGTATTAAAATATGTACAGTAGGCCTAAGTTGCTAATTTGACATACAAATGCTATTTTTTGGTCACAGAAACAGAAACAGTCTCTATTAGGGAAACTGAATGGGAGGTTGTAAGGGGAAAAAGGAGAAAGAAAAGGAGTAGGCATTTGCTCATGCAACATTATCAGAATTTCTAGTCCTGGGGTACTAGTCTTTCTTGCATGGGCACAGTGACTAAATCCCAAAGAATTGTTACAGGGCATATCAGTGCCTTCTCTTACCCCAGGAGCATGCACTTTCTGACTTGGGAAATAAGACAGTCTTATTTTATGTTCTCTGCCCCTGATCAGTCCAAGCACGTAATAAGAATTAACAGGTGAACCGTACATTTGAAAAAACTATAAATACCCCAAGTTCAAAGAGGCATGAAGCTCTCTAGTTAAGATGTTTTTCTCTCAGATAGACTAGAGATAGATTGTCTCAGGTAGGTAGCTATTTTATCAGAGAAGCCTTGACATATCAGTATATTGGTTTAAAAATGTATTGTGGCTATGATTATGTGAATGCTAATGTTAAAATGACCTCCTGATCCAATCTTTTGAAACTGATTCTGATATTATGTACTTGATTTTGCAACATATGTATGTTTTAGTCAAAACAGAGAAAGAGCTTTGCTTTAGATAATGATGTAAAGATACATTTCTGTGGATCTAAATCCCCAGGAATCTCAATCTGGGACACACTGAGAAGTCTTCAAAATTCTCAGTGTCCCAAATTGATAAGCTTTTATACCCAAAGTTACATTAAAAGATACAGAGCAGTAGTTCACAAGAGATATACTTGCAAGTACTTCACCAATCTATTCTGGGGGATTGAAAGCTAGCATTCCTTGACTAAGTGCTGAAGGAAATGCTACAGAGAATGCAGAAGAGTTACTTAACATAGATTTCCCCAGTTCTGCTAACGGTGAAGTATGTGCATATGACTAAGAGGAAAGACAGTTATCCCGTTGGACATATCTTTGTACATGGAAAAGTATCATACACCTAATATTTATTCTTCTGTTCCCCAGATAGTTTTTCCTGGCTTCACCATTTACTTATAGAACGGACGCAGAATTTCAAATTATCTATATTCCAGACAGCTGTTCAGGCCCCTCCTTAGTTGCGGAGAAGTATGTATCTGGCTGCTGCTAGAAACTGGATGCTGAATGCAACAGATCATTAACCTGAACATGAAGGCTGCTTCTTTCACTCTTCGACAAACTCATGGCTGCTGTTGTGCAGAATCACAATTTGTTTTTCAAACTTCCTAATTCTAAAAAGAATCTTGCCATACTGCATAAAAAGTCAGTTATTTGGAACAAAGTCAAAAGGCTCCGTTGCATGCAGGAATTGAATAGATGGACCTCTAAACCGTGATGTGCTTATATAGGAGCATTACAAATTCATGAACTGTGCAATTGTTACTTCTGATTCCTCTTTGATCAAGTTATTGCCATTAGAAGATAAATGTCATTAGAGAGAAAACCATTCAGTTATAAAGCTGTGTTTCTGCTTGGCACATTTTAAATGCAGATGCTTTTGTAAAGAAAAAGATTAGCAAACCTGACATTCTCTTACTTTAACAAATTCCTTGAAGTCAGGCACTTCATCTGTTTTCTGTTGGATGAGCGCTGCCCCATTAAGCTGGCAGCTGCAGAACCGAATGTAGGGCTGCATGTGAGGAAGCTGTGCAGTCAGGATATCACCTATCATTTTAACTGGCATTCTTTCACCTGACATCTTTTTACGAACTCGCAGTGCTCTAAATAGCAAAAAGTGACAGAGATATTCTGTTAGGTGTTTGGTTTAATCCCTTTATTCATACTGCACAAATCAAAGCATTTGAACTTTGGAATGTAGCCAATTGGAGGCCATCCACTATGAAAAATTTTTTTCAACCAGCAGTACTTTCTGTTAATGTAGGGGTTAACAACCTGTGGCTACCAAGTCCTATTTCTGCTGCCCTGGGAGTTTCCTCTGATCATTACAGCGGTTTCCTTCCATTTTGAGGGAAGAAACACTTGAAAACTGTAGCATAAGGTATACAGTAAAATAAATGTATCTGACAGAAAACAAAGAACCTGGAAAACTTCACCCCAAACAGAGCCCTGCCCACCTATGATGTGGCCCCACCCTATCTGTACCTTTCAATCCTCTAAAAAATATCAACTGTGGTCCATGGCTAGCAAAAGGCAGCCCGCCTCTATATCAGTGGAACTGGAGGGAGGCAACTGGCCTTTCCCTGCAGCTCCCTCATGGCATCTTCTACATTGTTTTGAACAATCCCCCAAATTAGCTGGAACAGATTTGGAGCAAAGTGGCCAAAGGGCTGTAAGAAGAAGTAGGAATCCCCCAAATAATCACCCTGCTCAGTTAGTGATGGAAGCTTCAACTGGGTCAAAGAACTAACCATCAGAACAGAGATATATATTGGATTAAAATACTGACTGGCTAAAACCCTCAACTGTGCATTTAAGCTTATGGATGGAGAAAACAGCTTTTTTAAAAAAAATCTACATTAATATATTGCTCAATCTGAGATAGCAAGGCCACACAGGACTAGTGAAAATCTTGGGTTTAGTTCCTAGAAACATCCTAAATTTATTGCCAAATATTATTTTTTAATGTGACAGAAAGAGAAAATTATAAAATCTGTGGCTAGAGAATTGTTGCATAGATTTTGAGTGTTGTACCACACACCCTGTTTCAAAATCCAGCACATGGGAGAAGGAGAGAAACGAAATCTGATTTCATTTATATTTACATTTATTTAAAATGGAATACAATCTAAATAATTATTCTGCAGTAATGGATTTTTTATAATTATATGAAGCTGTCAAGGGTGCATAATGAAGGGGGGTAGATCTTCCGTAACCTGTATTGAAATGGCTCATCAGAAGCCCATTACCATTTCAGCATCCTGATTAGTACAAGAAAGGAATCAAATGAAAAGAAATAGTAATAATAAACTGCAAAAAAGGGATCATAACAGTTGTGTTTCCCTGTATTTAATGGAATTAGAAAAGCTTGTTTGACTAATTTAAACTTGATGAAAAATGTAGTATAAAGTACACATCATCTTATGGCATAATATTTTTCAACAAGCTGTACTTTTTTGTGTAATACTTTTTCCATATACTTCATCTACTCATACATCATGTTCAGTTTTCACGACAAACAAAACATCATTTTAATTTCCATATTTTTCCTTCCCAAGGAAATGGAAAGATTCCCCAATCTGTTATTGGCAAAAATATGTTTACAAAAGCAACTTACTTCAGTAGTTTAATATTGCACATAATGAGTTCCTTCCAGTTTACAAAAATCATAGCAACTTCTTTTTCGGTCAACAGTTCAGAGTCCATCAGTGGCTTCTGGAAGATCTGAAGATTTAAATAAACAGTTTAGAGAACTTACTCTGTACTTCATTTGTGCTCTCAGCTTAAGATCAAAGATCCAAAAAATTCTTCCTGCATTATTTTGATGATTTCATAGGATGTAATATTATCGAAGATCAGCGCTTTAAAATCTCAGTGGTTCCAACAGGAGAGATTAAGCAACTGCTTAACTCAGAGCAGCCAAAATACAATTCCATGGACAAGGAGGCTTGCAAGCATCAGGAAAATTTACTGTTATATTGGCACCAACGGGCTCAAGTTCTGATCCAGGACAAAAGGCAGTTCAAGATCATTGTATTTGAAAAGTTTGTCTATGTTCAGCAGGCATACCTTAACTATGCAGAATCTAGCAAGAAAAAAATGAATCTGGGGAAGGTATTTTAAAAGTATGAACAATTACGCTCACCTCTGTTACTAACTGTAAGTCATTCACATAGTTCTCCTCTGTTACTATGAGTTCATGAATGTACCCTTGCCGTTTCCTTTCTGTGGGTGTCAGCATGTCTAGAAGATGCAAATCGGCACACCCTGAAAAACACAAGGAAAGTGGCACTATTTACTCTTGATAATTAACAAAATTCTGCATAAAATCCCCATGATGGTGTTTAGTGATTGATTTTGTGTTATCTGAGTTGCAAATAATTCAAACCTCATTCTCTTTTGGATATACTCCATTTTAATGTTACAGAGTTACTAAACTTGAAAATCGTATCCAAGCTGAACAATTTCAGATTACAAGAGAAGATTTAACATTTTTGAACAATTCATATGTAAAAATATAAATGCTTTTTAAAGCATTAAACAGCACTACAGTAATTTTTTTTCTATACTACCTTATCATACTAACAAACTGCAAATACTAACATTTTGAAAAAATATGCTTCCACACTTTTGAATTGAAGGATGTGCTCCATTCACACTGGAGTAGCCAAAGAAGGAGAAAATGGAAACATTTTGCTTAAAGGGTTAGTATTCCATAGTTACAACATGTCTGCGTGCAGTAGTTAAGAACATTGAATTCCAATTTGTATTGTATGTATGTGTAAATATGTATTTATATTTTCTTCAATTAAAATATTGATCTATTTACAGGAAAACCAAGCTTTTATATAGAGTTTTGTAGAGTTTTTTTTAATAGGACAGAATTGGGATTAACAGAGGAACACTGGATTGTGCATAAGTAAGGCAGCTTACCAAGTTAGCCAGAATGAAATCTAGTTTAGTAGATGACCAGCTAAAGCATTGTTTAACCCATCACCATTGCATAGCAGTACTGAATCGTATCTTTATTTAATTGATTTATATCCCACATTTCTTTCAGGAGCTCAAGGTGTCATATTTTCACCTCCATTTTTACCCACAACTCCTTTGTGAAGTAGGTTGGGCTGAGAGTGAGTGGCCTAGAGTCATTCACGTATACGTATACAGTACGCACAGGAAGAAATATACTCTAAAGCAGTGTTTCTCAGCCTTAGCCAGTTGAAGATGTGTGGACTTCAGCTCCCAGAATTCCCCAGCCAGCTGGCTGGGGAATTCTGGGAGCTCAAGTCCACACATCTTCAGCTGGCCAAGGTTGAGAAACACTGCTCTAAAGCAAAGAGATACTGTGAAGTTCACTTTTCCTTTTGGAAAGCATCTTTTTACTGCTAACATCCGTTGTTTTAGTTATAGTTTAGCGTCACACTGATGCCCTGCTTTGCCCATCTATAGCTTATTTTATTTTCTCAAATTGGTATTCCATTTTCTGTATTTTTGATACTCTAATATTTGAACTCAGAGCCCCATGTGGTTCCCAAAAACCTCGGGTGCAGCTTGCAGAGAACTCCAAAAGTAATTACAAACAGTGATCTTTAATGACTGGATAGAAATCGCATTAATTGTGTTTAATTTGAATTACCCTTAAATATAAAGGAAATGAAACAAATGTAATTTTGTCCTGACCCCACCCATTCTTCTGGAGTCTATCCCAATATCCCACTCAAAACCTCAGCCCGGGGGGGGGGGGGGGGGGGGGAGTGTACCCTAAGAAAAGGATACCTAAGTGCTTTCAAAATGTAAATATCAGTGAACCCTGCATTAAAACCTGGCATAAAAACCGAGAGGCGGAGTTGGCGTTGCGGCGTTACGGTGTTCGCTCCTGAGCTCCCAAAATCGCACCCGGTATCTCCCCTGGGTCAGGGGTCCGGAGGAGGCACAGCAAACACCAGAGGTAGGGGTGT